CTCAAAAATTGCCTTTACTTGAATAAAATGTGCTTGCATTTCTGCAGCAATGAGTAACTGACCACTGCAATAGACTTGGACCCTGATGTTGCCCTGGAGTTACAGACAGATCAGGCCACACAGAATAAATGCCTAAGTGAGAAGTGCCACTCTGTCATGGTGTGAGAGGCCATGCCTGGGTATTATTGTTGATGTTGGTGGCTTTTTCATGGAGGAAGCAGAGGATGATTCAGAGTTTTGACCTTTATGCAGGAAATATTTGTTTAAAAAAAATTGTTTTCCTTCTTGGGTAATTTCTTTTGCATTTTGTTTCCATGGAGGTTTTCTCCACCATTCCCTTCTGGAGAAAAGGCAAAAGAAAAGTTCTCTTGCAGCGACCAGGGAAAATGGTTTCATGCCTTCCCACTTAAGTGGATATAAGATATAGTACCTCTCTGCCACAACAGGAACAGAACTTGAATCCAGGAAGACCTTGGGGAGACCTCATAGCACTTTCCACTATGTAAAGGAGGCCTACAGGAAAACTGGAGAGGAACTTTTGACAAGAGCCATGTGCTGGGACAAAGGACAATGACTAAAGTGAAGAAAAATATACCTCATCTAAGTGGATTTAGATCAGGTATTTGGAAGAAATTCCTGTGAAGGTGGTGAGGCACAGGCACAGGTTGCCCAGAGAAGCTGTGGATGCTCCATCCCTGGACGTGCTCCAAGCCAGGCTGGACGGGTCTGTGAGCAATCCGGGGGGAGAAGGGATGCCCTCTGAGGTCCTTTCGGACGCCAGCTCTGCGGTGCTGCCGCTAGAGCGCACTGCCGGCCGCGCCGGGCGCTCGGAGCGGGGCGGGCGCCGCGGGCAGCGCGGATCGGCCGGGCCGGGCCCTGCGCACAGAGCGGTGCCCAGCCCCCGAGGCACACACGAGAACTGGCCCTTCAGCCCGCCGTCCGAGCCTGAGCAAGCGGCCGTGCCCGCGGGCATGTGGTTAATACTGCGCCCAAGGTCCATTTTAGCGCTTTCGTGGGCTCCCAGGGAGGGGTCCGTAGCGGAGAGAGTTGATAAAAGCATCATTATAAGGGCTGCACAGCACAGATCACACTATTTTCCACGCAAGCTATATCCTGGTTTCTTCATGTTTTTTGTGTCCTGTCAGTGAAAACCTCAGGCTGTCTGAGGGAGACAGTCACAGCTCATGCTCTGCATGCCAAGTCCCTCTGGATACACTGAATTTCAGGCTTGGACAAGTGGCCATTCCCCCTGCCTTATGTGAGCCCACAGCAGGAATACTGGATCCAGTGCAAGAAAGTCATTCTTTTACTGAAGCTCAGCCGAGGACATCAAGGCAGGGAGCAGGACACAGGAGATAGGATGAAGGAATCAGGATTGTTCTCAGGGAGAGCAGGTGAGCATGGGGTCTAACTTGCAGTCTGAAAGAGGGTTACAGAGAAGATGGAGCTGGGATCTTCTCTGAAGGGTACTAAGACAGAGAAAGAGACACGGAGCTAAAGCTGTGCTGAGAGAAAGCCTGGTGGGATATAAAGGAAAAACATTCTTTCCTTGAAAGTGGGGCAGCCCTGGAATGAGGACAAGAGGGGGATCATCTCATGTCTTGGAGAAGGTCAGCACTTGACTAGAGAAAGCCCAAAGCAGTCTAGTCAGACTTAGCCATGCTCTGAGTAGGGGCTGGATTTAAGATCTCCAGGTGTCTCTCCTCACTTAACTTTTTGTACAGTTACATGATTTCCTGGCAGAACAGGAGAGTCAGGCCAGGTGGTGGAGCACTGATGAGCCTGGCTGGACACACAGCTCCGGTCTGTGGCGGCCCTGGCAGCATTATAAAAGTATTTAAATAGTGAACACAGGATGGGAAGGAGCAGAGCTAACAAGCCCTGAGCAGGAAGTGGTGGCCAGAGAGGGAGTGAGTATTTGCTCTCTCCAGGATTTACTGCTTAAAGTCAATATTAGTGAATTAATTAGCAAATTTTTCTTATCATGTAAGAGCAGGCACTTATGGGGTGGAATGGCTTTCACTGACTTGTGGCGGCTTCTGGCTCTAAGTTGCTTGCCAACTTCTTTCTGCTAAGGCTTAGCTACGACTTCTCCTAAGGACAGGAAGATCTTTCTGGTTCAAAACATCACCCATGAGCAACAGCCTGCCACAGATCACCCCTGACTTTCAGCAAATGTGGGGGGCTCCATATAGGAAGAGTAATTTGAGCAGTGGAAAGCCAGGATGCACAAACCAAACTTCCCTTATCCCACAGAGCTGGAAGCATATTTCCTGAAAGGATACTGAAAGGTAATCAGCATGTACAGAGGAGAGTCTGGTTCTCCAGGATATGATGTTAGGTTTCCTCTCCTTAGCACTTGTGTCATGGCTGTCAGCACTCAGGATGGCCTCCCGTGCTCTGCAGGAGGGGGATCAGGACCTGCAGCCCTGAGAAAAGCTCACAGGAGCGTGTTCAGTGCAGCCCAGTTGACTTTAACCAATGTCCTGCTGAATCTCACTAGTGAGGAGAAACTACAGTGCTCGTGTCCACCGTGTTCCACAACACACCTTCGTCTGTGTGCCACAAGGAGCAGGTCAGAGCATCCTGGAGGAGCCTCAGGCAGCCCTGCCAGTTTACAGCACAGCAAGGATCACTGTGTCAGGCACTTACCTGGCTCCCTGTGCTGGCCCCATAGCTCAGAGGCTATTTCCTTGCACCCATATCATTCTCTTTGCCAGTAAGGAGGCTGCAGTCAGTTAAAGGTCTCTGCCCTCCCCCCTTCATGATTTCCCCTTCATGTCAGACCCAGACCATAGCTGTCATCCAGTTTTCACCAAGAGCATGAAAATTTACTTTACTAGACTCTCTGCCAAGGCCCTGGGTAAAGACATCTGTCTTGGACTAGGAAGGAGGGAAGAGAGGGAGAAGGTGACTTGTTGCACCTGCAAAACAGCAGCCTCCCTGTCCCAGATACAGCTGTCCTTGCCAGCCTGTCCCCAGCTCCATTCAGGCAGCAGAGCCTACCTCAGGGGTACACATGGACCACCTCGACTCCAGCCTCACGCCTGAACCCCGTCTGTACAAGCAAGAGCTCTGTTATCTGTCCTCTCAACAGAGAAAGAACCAATGCATGGCCAGTGAAAGTGTTGATTAGGAGGGCTTTATCTTTCTCTTGTTCAGTTTGTGATAAGATTTTTCTTGTTTGCAAAGGCACACCTTTTTTACTGTCTGCCAAAGAAGACAAAGTAAGAGCAGCTCTAAGAGAGAGTATGCAATACCTGGGATGACTCCAGGACTTCCTAGCCACCAAAGGCATCTCCACAGGGATGAACAGAGGTGCTTGCTCTGGTTCCTGCACATTTCTGCTCTCAGGGTGCTCTCCCAGCCCTCCCAGTGCAAGGGTAAGCACTGCTGCCCACATGTGTTTCAAGAGTGAATGTTGTCCCATGTTCATGGACACCTCACTCTGCCAGGTCTTCACCACCTCCTACAGCTCCACTTCACAATGGAGAAGGTGGAATGTGGTTGTGCTGTGCCCTCCTTGATTGATGTAAGCTGTAAGATGAGTCTAAAACCCGCTAGAAGTTTCTTCTCCTCAAAATCTAAAGGGCTTTGGAAGCCAGGAAAATCTAAATGTCTGCAGATGTAGAGTGGGCAGCATGGCTGATTCCTGCTCCCTGTCAGCACTGCAGAGGGTTAGAGAGCAGGGAAGGGCACCGGAGAGCAGGGAAGGGCCACGGGGTCTCTGCCATGGCACATGTGGGGCTCCAGCAGGTGGAAGGGTCTCCTGGCCTGCCTGGCAGCAGCCACTGCCCAGCCTTTCTGCAGCACGGTGTGGGCACCACACTTGCAGGAGTGCCCCAGCACAAGTGTTGTGATGTTGCTCATCCACAACATGACCTCCAGCCTCTGGCTCCACTTCAGGCCAGTGCAGCCTCAGCTGCCTTCCCCTAGTGCCTTGGTTTAAGAGCAAACCTCACAGACAGAAGTTCCTTCCATGCTGCAGGGCTTCCACAAAGCCCTCTTGTTGTACCTTAGATATTTGGGGTTGTGGGTGAGGTTTCAGTAGTTCATGGCAGAAGCTGAGAGATCTTGTTCAGCTGCCACTGGTATCAGTGGCTCAAGGGGAGAGCAAAACCTCGAGTTAGCGGATATGCCTATGGAGAACAAAACAGTGTCAGGATATCTGACAAGGGAAACCCATCCCTCCAGGAGCTGCCCTGGAGGGGGGAAAGGAGCTGGATTTGCTTTGGTATGGTGCTGCTGAATGCTTTCTGCTTTGACACCCACCAGGTGCTTTAGAGCTTCTGGCAGTGTAACTGTGGAGGTCAGAACTTCAGCACAGGGAGGCTGTGGAAGAGCTGGCAAGCACTTGCTCCTCATGTGATATCCCTGGCACCAAAGCAGGGATGGGACGTCAAGGGTGTCCATCGTGTCACTGGAGACTCTTACACAAGCGGTGACACAGAGCCTGGAGGGCTCTGGGACAGCAGCAGCAATGTGTCCAGAGCCATAAGAGAATCCCCCAAATCAGGGATGCCTGCAGGGTCTGGCCAGCCTTGTGCTCTGGGAGACAGGCCCTTGGGAAGTCAGACAATGGCAATATGACCTCCCCTCCTCCTCAAGAGGAGAAGGATCCCTTGTGTCAGGATATTACAGGAATGTAAGAGAGCCTCTTCCCTTGCTGTGCACAGGAACAAGGATCGCAAGACCCAAAACAAGGGCAGAGACACAGGGCACCCCATTACCCCTGGCTTCAGGAGAAATCCTGCGTGAAACTGGGGAGACAGGGAGACAATGACTGTGCAGAGTGTCTCTTGTCTTTGTCCCAAATGGCATTTTCCTGACAAAAGTGTATAATTCAGCCAAGTTCCAGCCCAATGCACTCAGCTGTTTTCAACCTCTTTTGTTTGTCTTACAAGGCAGAGTGAAGCTGCCCAGAAATTAAAACCAAAAAATATATCCAGCTTTAGGAAAGCAAGATGTTTATTGCAGATGAAAACAGGCTATGAGAAAAACTTTCAGACTAAAAATAATAGCACAAAAGGTGGTGGGGTTTGTGGGGTGCAGTAAAAAGCCCAAGCTGGGCTTCTCCAGCCAGCTAAAATCACAGTGAGTGTTAGCTTTGCAATGCCACTCACATTTATGCAAATAAGAAATTACTTTCAGAAACACATGTGGATGCTGGACTGTACGACTGAAGTGTAGTGTGGCAGAGCACTGTGAAGCCTTCCATGGGCCCAAGCAAAACAGCCTGTTTGCAGAGAGAGCAGGAGGCTCATAAGCCACGGGCAACTCCCTAGGGGCTGCCTCTCTAGCCTGGAAGAAGCATAGAAAGCAGAGTGACAAGGAGAGCATGGGCTTTATGGTTCCCAAGAAAGCAGCTGCTCAAAATGACTGTGCCATACTTATCAAGTTTGTAAGGTGAGAGTAAAAATAAAAAATATCCCCAAACAATCAGAAAGTTAATACAGAATATGCGGAATGTATTCGTTATCCTGGTGGTCATTTTCCAGAGGAGTATTGAACTCTTCTAGTATATCTGCTTCTGCTGGTTTCAGCACATCCTCTTCACCTGTAAGGCATGTAAGAGTCAGATCATTTTGTACTGGGGGGCTCCCCTGTTACCCCCCTGTCCCATGTTAAAGCCTCCCTGGCCAGTCTCCTGCAATTGCCCGGAGAAGGCGTTAGGTGGATTGCCTGCTTTCCAAGGGCACTCCCAGTTGTGGAGGGGAGTTGGAGAAGGTAAGGCACTGGTAGGTTCAAGGCCAGAGGCAATAACCACAACCCTGATGGTTGCCCGTTTCAAGACCTCAGGGCTGGAGGCTGGACACCCACCCCAGAGCCCAGGATGCAGAATAGCTGCTTTCCATGGCATGATGGCACCGCATGCCTTGCATCAATAGGCCTTTTCTTCCCTCCTGCAGACACATTGCTGGAAATACCATAGTTGAGGGTCAGAGGATTGTCACCTCCTCTGAAGCAGAACCTTAGTTTTCCTGCTTTTGAAGCAACCTGCATGCTTGACCCAATGACTGCTAAAGTGAATGTACTCTACTCTTCCCATGACAGATCTGGGAGCAAATCCTGCTGCAGTAGCTGTAAATGGATTTTCTGAGCCCAAACACCAGTCTGCCATTCTGACCAGCTTGGTGCCGTCCATGCCTCAGTCCTGGCAGGTTTCAAAGGTGTAGTTGCCTGCAGGCTCCCACTCTTTGTCCCAGTGCCCACTTTGCTCTCCCACCATCCCAGTGTCATCCCTGAAACTGGATGGACTGTGGACAGAGCATGTCTTGACTTTGGCTCCCCCAACCAGCTCTGACCACAAAAAACCTCATCTTCTCTCCACAGAGAGAAGAAATACATCCCTCTGTGCTATTGTGGCTCTTGGCAGAGCCACAGAAGTGTTCTTAGGACAAGGAGTTAGAAAGAACCAGGTCCACAACCCCATCCCAATGACTGACTAGCTTGTCATCACTCCTCTGGGCTCGAAGAGAGCTGTCTGTCCCCGCAGTCCCACCATCCCCCCACCCTTTCTCAGCTACCCCAGTTTGGTGGGGTAGGACCCATGCTCTGGAGATGCGGCAGGGTTGTTGTTGATAAGGCGGGCACCCTTGGCTGACAGTCCTCAGGCGGCAGTGCTGCACTGCCCCCCGGCCAGCACGGGGCCAGCACCTCTGCGGCAACTCACCAGCAGGGTCCGAGCTCCTGTCTGCCAGCTCCCCTTCCACTGCCACCGCCGGCAGCCCACCGACCATGTTCTGGATGGGCAGCACGGGTGGCTGCTGTTGAAAGCCTGCTTCAGGCAGCGCTGGCTCCGAGGGCTCTGGCTCCGGGGGCACTGGCTCAGCCGTCTCCTCTGGGTCGGGCTGGGGCTCCACTGCTGGCTCTGACTCCAGGACAGCCTTGACCACTGTCTGACTGCCCCGTCCTCTTTTGGCTCTTCTGGCTCTCCTTTGCTGTTCGTTCTTATAGTCTCTGCCAGGGGATTTCACAGGAATGAATAGAACAAAGGACTTTCCCTTCTGCCCTAAGGCAGTTTGCTGGGTCCCCTGTTGTGATTGTGACCCAGCTCATCCTGCAGAAGCTGCAATTGTTCAGCCCCCCTCCCGAGCCCTGCACAGCAGCCTTCTGCAGCTGCACCAGTGGGCAGGAGCTTGGGCAACAAATTCTTCCTCAGCCTCACATTATGATTGAGGTTTGCTTGCTATCCCTCACCCATCTCTCCCTCCAGTGCCTGTGCAGACCTTGAGCAGCTACTGGCTGCCGGTCACCTTTCCTCACTGAGGACTGATGGCTCTGTCCTTGGGTGAAGATCGAGAGACTGGGCCATGTCTGGGCTCAGATTAAGTGCACCACAAAAGCACTATGACAGAAAAAGCAAGATTTACCTCATAACCCACTGAGCTGAATCTTTCTCCAGGGCTTCTGCTTTTCTTTTCCTGAGCAATTCCCGGTCTCTCAAGCGACGGGTTATGATGACATCTACGAGGATAAAGCGAGTGCCAACGTGACGCTCTGATCCCTCCCTGCCTGGCACTAGAGCACTGATGCAAGAGGCCATGGCTTTTTTTTTGTCCCAAAGGCATCTTAATATGAAACTCCTTGAGCACTGTACTTCCAGCACAGCCTCAGTGGGGAGGATTTGATGACACCGCACCCATAACTCCCAGGCTCCTAGCCTGACAATTACTGTAGATTTCCAGGTACAATTCCTTGGGGTGACCCATGTCCAACCTACTCCCATACTGTAGGGACCTGGGGCGTGGTGTCTTTGATCAGGCATCAGTACAGACTGTAAGATAATTCTTCATGTTTTCTCCATTGTTACACTTTTCCCCAGACAGCTGGAACTGGCCACCACAGAAATTAATATGTTTATCTAAAACCCTAGAAGAAAGCCTTGACCCACAGAACAGACAATCCTTCAAAACAGGAGCAGCTCTGTGGGGGCAAGGATGAGCCAGAGGGCACAGCCTTACCCACACAGATGCTCACGTGCATTGGGCTGAGACCTCGTGGGGAGATGGTGATGCAACCAGAGACCAAGACAGGGCTAGCACACCCTGCTGGGGCTGAGAAAACTGGTCCCAAACACCACAGAAACAGCCCCAAGCTGGTCTGCAGCTGTGAGGAAGACCATGGCAGGGCCTAAGAAAGACTAATTGATTTGAGAAAGCTCCAATGCTGGCTTTATTATTTGGGCAGGATGTGCAGGTTGCATACAGCCAGTAGCAGAGAGAAGCACTCCCCAGATCCCAGATCACCACACCTTCCTTGGCCAAGGTAAGCAGTGTCCATTTCACTGGTTGCAAAGGGCTCCAAATGGCTTCCTGAGGCAAAGACCAGCCTAAAAAATGGTCTGAACTTCACTTCTCCATGTCTTTTTGTCCTAAAAGACAGCAATCCCTGATGATTTCTAGTGTAGACTCTAAGCTGTGGTAGTAAAAACTTGTCTCCAATCAAGCAGCATGCTACCCAATTCCAGGAGACACAGGGAGCAACACTACTGCCCTGAGGCCTTGAGGGAGAGGGAATTCTTCCCAAAGGTACACTGAAGAGATCACAAAAGAAATGATTATCATAGTTTCAACAAAGCCCACACAAGTGGAAAAGCAAGACTATGACCTGCTCCTTCCAGATGTAATCGGATCCAGCTCCTTTAACAAAAGCCTTGGCTCACACTAAAGTAGTGAAATCAGTGAAAAATTGTCATTTTGTCATTCTCTTGATCAGATGGTAAAATTGTCAAGGTGAGAAAGACTTCTGAGGCTGAGCTGGGATTACAGGTCTTTTATTAAATTCCAGGTATTTATTAAAAGCCAGTAAAACTGGCATTGCATTGTCCTGTCCTGTAGTCCAGGACAGGACAATGCAAAACTGACAGCAGGAGCCAGTCTCTGCCCAAAGTAGGTTTTTACACAAGACACGTCTGATAATTAATAATAATCTTACAGAAATTTATCTTGGAGAGTATTTATGTTGGTCTATGCTTCGATGTCCTCGCCAAAGCAGAGTCAGCTTTAAAATGACATCTGACTGCCCAGAACACTGTCCAGGGAAGCTGAGAATAACTCCAAGACAAGTGGGAGGTTGTTCCCTGATACGAGGCAGTAACAGAGACAGTAGGGCTCAGTCAGCAGGAGATGACTCTGCCATCCACTTAGAAAAAGGCAGTAAACTCCCTGGGAAGATGAGGTTACAAGCTGCAGTAGCAGGATCTGCACAGGGCCTCGGTTCAGCTACTGAAGTACATAATCCCTTGCACATCCCATCTGCAGCCAAGGTAATTTTATTTTCCTTTCAAAATGTCTTGTGAGCTATAAAAGCAATTTTAGCTGCTTGCAGTCCGTCTCCTTCACAGTCCATTCTAAGAAAACATCCCTAATTCACTTCTAACTGGTCCAAGAAAGCACTGCCACAACAGCTCCAAAGCTGTCACCTGCCAGCACTAAGCAGGGGAGACCACAGTAAAACATATGCAACCTGATGAAAAAATATTTATTAGAGGGCACAAAGAAACAGAAATTAAATGAAAAGAGAAAATAAAATCAAGCTATAAAAACAATGAGGCAGTACTGCCAGTCTGCAAAGAGACAATCTACTGATGCTCTCTGAAGGACTTTAGTTGAAAAGCCTTTATATGTGCTTTGGGATCTGGAACATAACATGTAAAAAGACACGGATTCACAGTTAAATGTGCATCCTCTACCGCCAAGCATAGACTAATAATTATTAGTTCCTTTCTGAGAAACACTTGGTAACAAAAATCATGCTCTCCTCTCTCCAAAAACTCAAGTTAGGAATGTTGTCATCATTACCTGGCACAGCATACTCCTCACAGGCTGCAGAGGGTGGCAGGGAAGAGTCCGAAGAAGCATGGTCTTTGCCTAAACTCTCCATTGCTCTTTGTAGTTTTAATTAGAAAGCAGCTTAGTTCCCTGGAAACAGCATCTGGAGATACTGGTGCAGCATAATGAGAGCTTGAAAAAAAATGCAGACTGCCCGCCCCAAACCTCTTATCTGGCCAGGCCACTAGGAGGGTAATAATATTCTCCTTATCAGAGTGGAAAGGTGTGTGAGTCTCTGTCCAGGATCTACTGTGTGGATTGCAAAATATGTTAGTGCTTTTATACTGCAAATTATTCCACTTCAGATAGGAAGTTTACTGCTGCTGAACTGTGACTCAAAAGCTCTCCTTTGTAGTGGACATGGCAGGGCAGGATGTGGCTGCCTCAGTGCTGCTTTCCTGAGTGAGATGCAGGGATCTGTTGTTAGTCCTTAAGGACCCCTTGAGAAATGGGATACATGCTGTCTGAAGGTGCTTGCATAGGATGCTTGCAGTGCTGGTAGGAAGGCACATCCTCCAGCTCCCCTCACAGCAGGACTGGCAGCTTCACAAGGTCAGGATGGCTGTGTTGCCATATTCTTTGGAATCCCCTAAGGATGGACACTGTCACAGTCATGTTACCTGCCCAAGAGCTGCACCAGCTTCCTGGGATCCAGACAGAATAATAAATCCATGCCAGCCTGGCTGTGCATGTTGAGGACTTCCTAATGATTGTTTGGTCCAGTCCCTGGTGGATCAGGACTATGAACAAAGCACTTCACTGATGAAGCAAGATGGCAATGGGCAGTCCCAGTAAAACCAGTGGGAAGACCCAGCTGTTCCCTTGCCCCCACAGGATGATTTCCTTAAGTGGCTGTTCTTAGCTGCTGGTAGCCCCTTGCTGCCCCAGTCCTGCCTGGCCTGCAGGCTCCTGCAAGGTCATCTGCAGGGCCAGCATCCCTGCAAAGGGGAGGCTGCTGCCTGGTACAATGGCTTCAATGCTGAGAACCTGTTCCTTGCTCTGTGGGAATGGCCAGGCCCCTAGATCAGTGCATGTGAGATGAGGAGGTTATCTTGGCCTCTCCTGAAAACTGCCTTCATAGTTTCTTATGCCAGGATAGCACAGAAAAGCTCAAGCTTATATTGTGTGTCACAACTCTGATGGAGCGGAGGTACCTCTTTAGCCAGTTTCTAGTGCACTCAGCTGCTATCAGCACTTTTTTTCCATGAGACACTCAACCACTTACACACTGGTTAGGTGCTTGTGCCCCTAACCCCTTCCCTCCCTGCCCACCATATATTCAGAAGTGGTTCAAAGGTTGGTAAAGGACTCTATAGCGTGTCTACCCCCAGGTCCTCTGCGACCCAGCTACCTTTCAAGGCAGGGATGATCCTACCTCCTCAAGCAGCCTGAGGACTTGCCCTGAGTAAAGCAGCTCCTCAGGGATGAGCAGATCTGGCTGCCTCCAATCTTTGCCAGCCTTTTTTATTTTTAGTGTACATCCTGTACTCTCAGCAGGATCTCTCTCTAGGTCCCTAGAAGCTCCAGAGCTTGAAACTTCATGCATATAGATTTCTTAAGATCTAACCTTGGAGGTCCGTGGCCATCTCTGCTGCCATTCTTCTTATCCCCTGAGTTACCACTTGACTCTAGGGCTTGTGCCCTGTGTCCACTGCAGATTACACGGTACCTCCAGAGAGGTGGGGTAGGTCTAACAGCCCCAAAAGGAGCAACAGGGTGGTGGCAGCAGAGGAGATATGGGAAGGCTCTGATATGGGAGGGTGGGCCAGGAGCATGGATGGCATAAAGAGATGTGAGGCTACCAAGTCATTCACAGAATAGTTTCTTGTAGCTCAGTCACAAATGAAGACAAGGTGTGCCAAGCTGGTGAGGGTGTCCATGTTCCAGCACTGTCTGAAGATGCAAAGCACTAGAGACACCCTGGTCATGCAGACATCTGGGAACTGTACCCTGGCAGGATACTTCACTGTGCAAAGGCATTGCTTTTGGAGAGGCAAACATATCAGGCCTTGAGCACTGTTTCTGTTTTTGTGTCCCTCATTACAAAAAAGACATTATTATTACAGAACTACACAATGTGCTAAGCTGGAAAGGACACAGCAGGATCATTGAGTACAACTCTTGTTCCTGCTCAGAACACCACAAAATCACACCATGTGCCTGACAGCATTGTCCAAATGCTTCTTGAACTCTGACACACTTGGTGCTGTGACCACTTCCTTGGGGAGCCCGTTTCAGTGCCCAACCACCCTCAGGGTGAAGAACCTTTTCCTGATATCCAGCCTAAACCTCCCCTGACTCAGCTTCAGGCAATTCCATCAGATCCTGGCCACAAGAGTGAAGAGGTCAGTGCCTGCTGCTCCTCTTCCCCTCACACAGAAGGTGTAACTGCAGTGAGGTCTCCCCTCAGTCTCCTCCAGGCTGAACAGACCAAGTGACCTCAGCCACTCCTCATATGGCTTCACCTCAAGGCCTTTCACCATCTTTGTTGCCCTCCTTTGAAACTTTCTAAGAGCTCAATGTCTTTCTTATACCCAAAACTGCACCAAGAACTGCCCAGCAATGGAGGTGAGGCTGCCCCAGAGCAGAGCAGGACAGTCCCCTCCCTTGCCTGGCTGTGATGCTGCGCCTGATGCACCCCTGGCATCGGGTGGCCCTCCTGGCTGCCAGGGCACTGCTGACTCACGTTCAACTTGCCACTGACCTGGTCCTTTTCTGCAGAGCTGCTCTCTAGCCTCTCATTCCCCAGTCTATACACATATCCAGGGCTGCCCCATCCTAGGTAGAGAAACTGAAGTGCTTGGAGCATGTTCAAAGAAGAGCAAAGAAGCTGGCAAAGAGTCTAGGAAACAAGTCCTCTGAGGAGTGACTGAGGGAGTGAGGGTGTTGAGCTTGAAGAAAAGGAACCTGAGGGGACACTTCATTGTTCTCTACAGCTTCCTGATAGGAGATTGTAGATTGTTGGAGTCCATCTCTTCTCCCACGTAACAAGCAATAGGATGAGAGGAAATTACCTCAAATTGCTCTGGGGTAGGTTTAGGTTGGATGTCAGGCTGCCCAGGGCAGTGATGGAGTCACTGTTCCTGGAGGTATTTGAAAGATGTGTAGGTATGGTGCTTAGGGACATGGTTTCCTGCAGGACATGGCAGTTAATGGTCAAATTCCATGGTCTTAAATGATTCTATGACTCTATATTCTGGGCTGTCTGCAGGTGGTGTGAAGCATGCAAGGAAGGGTGGATATCCCTGTGTGTCTCAGTGCTCCACAGGAGCTGGGCGCATGCTCAGGCTGTGGCTAACTCAGCTTCTCACACCAACCATCTACGTGGTCACCCCAAAGCCTGGTGAGGGCTGATAAGTGACTCTTGACTCAGCAAAACTTTGCCATAAGGCACTGCAGAGCCAGTACTGTGACTGTTCCTCCATTTTGTCTCTCCATTTTTTGAAGGGAGCATTTGTGAAAGAAAGAGTCACTGTGCCCCAAGGCTCTTCAGAGGTGTTTAATGGAATAGTTGGACTTCAAAATCTTACAGAGCTGGCACTTGCATCTCTCAGGAGGGAAATCTCTAGAAGACACTTGTCCCTCGAGTGTAAATTGCTTTAAATGCCAAGGGAGCAATTTCCGTATCTCACAGAAAACTTTGGTAATGGTTAGCAATGAGGAAATTACAGGCTCCATCACCTACTTTCAAGTTGTTTGTGCTCTGAAGTAGAGGGGCTGAAATGTGGCCAAAGCTGCACTCCCTTTGCTGCAGAGATATTTGTGCAAGTGGGTTGCATTTTATGGCCAGTCTTGGCTACATGAACTGCTGCAGTAGACACTTTACAGTGTGCCAAGTGCTGCTTCCCTCCCCTTTCTCTCCACATTTCAGTTCAGCTAGCCCTCGGCCATTTTCACTGATGTGTCCAGCCTCCTCAGTTCCTGAGGCCCTCCCTGGAAGACATCAGCTGAGTGTTCAGCAACCTGAGCATCTCCAGTGTCACAGACTCCTCAAATGCCATTGGAGCTGCTCAGTAGGGGAACATCACCACCCTTGGGGGCATCTCACCATGCCACCACACAGCTTTCAGCACACAAATGTCCTGGGAAAGTTTTGTCCAAGGGACTCCTGGGCTGGATCCTGCCATTGGCTGGACTGCTTTCACTGTAGACACCACACCAGGCTTTGGATCTATGTGTAAGTCAAAGGTCTTCGTGAGCCTCAAGGATATCTGTTCCCCCTATCTGGCAAGGCTACTGCAAAGGACTGTCCAGAGACCTACATAGCCCTCCCTGCAGTCACGGATGCAGCCCTGATCAACACGGGCAGCTGGGTGAGCTGTGCTGCTGCCACTCTTACAGGGTGTCAGGGCACTTCTTCCAGTTTTGTCTCACAGGACAATGACAGAGAAGCAACTTTGCAGGCTTGTCCTTCACTCCCTGACTTGAGGAAACTTGCCTGTTTGCAACACACTGCTCTGGGAGCACTGTGTGCTACTCATTGCTCTGTGTGACAAACTGTGGTGCCTGTGAAAGAAGATAATCCCTTTTTTTCCCTGCCTTGACTGAAGCATGAGAAGATGAAAAACAGACAGATAAATTGAATGGGAAAAGCGTATGCAAAAGTGCAAATTCATATGCACACTCTCTGGCACAGCTCAGGACATTGCTGGCATCTTGCTGCCCACCAGCTGCCTCCTGAGTCTCACCTGACCTTGGCAGGCAAAGATCTGTTGGGCTTTAGAGTCAGGCTCTCTGCACCAGGCTGGTTTTGCACAGGCCCTGAGGTCTGTGGCAGTGTTCAATCACTGCCTTCCCCTTTCCCTTGGTCTGCCACTTGCTTTTGAGCCATGTGAAATAAACAGCCAAATCCACAGCCCCCTGGGGAGGACAAGTACCTCTGAATTTGCTGTGTGTAGAGTCAACACTGACCCCATCCTGTGGCTGCCCATGTTCTGACCTTGCAGGTCTGGCCTATTAGTCTGTACTTTAGTTCTGCAATTTCTGAATAAACACTCCACTTTGTGCTGGAGGCATGTGGTTTCCCTCTTCGGAAGAGCTTCT